GGATTGTTGCATTATGATGCCCTGAAATTGTACCAGCTAGGGCATATCTCGGTTGCCTTCTGATAATTCTAGCATCAGTATATCGAAAACGTATTAGCACCCGAACACAGTGGCATGTAAATGCAGTGAGGTGAAAAATTGTAGTAAAATATGTCCTCTTTATTAATAAAGCAATTTTATTAAGGCATAAAAACAACCTACCCATAGAAATGTCACGTCTTCCCAGCCTATCCTTTCGTAAGTATATCACCTATCCAATAACTGAAGCCTGGGTTTTTTGTCAATCATTGGCAAATCAGTTATTTTGGACAAAGAAACCAATATTTTTCTTAAGAGGAAGACTTGTAATATAAGATTCTGGAAAATGCTAAAATTAGTGGCGACTTCGGTTTAGAGCTAATTAATTGAGACCTCATGTTCATTTGTGAGTGTAACATTCAAATGGGTTTTACTATGTCCCATCATGAAGAGGTTTTTTCCAAACCTCTTCCTTAATAGTCATCACACCTGCCATCCTGCTCAAAATGAAGACGAGCTTAATAAAGGCACTCTGACTTACTGGCGGTCATTTGTCCTACCTATGCTAACTGGATTCCGAACAAGAGAGGAAGTTTGTATTAAACACTTCGAGGTTGGTCGTCAAATTAAGCAATCCAGGTTTGAACTTTTCACTTGTTTTATAAAGTTTTTTGAACTGGTGTTGATAATAGATACAATTTAAGGAAGTAGAAACAGTAGGTAAATAACTATCTCGTAGTATGATAACTCATGCAATCTCACCCTTGGAAATCAGCATTGTGGAAGTATTCATGCAATTAGGTTTTTACAAGGAAGCTAATTCCAAACGCAATCTCCAAACGCAATCCCTGATTATTTTCATCCTACGCACTGCAAACCTAGAAGTCAATGTAATTATTTATAATTTACTAAGAGTGATATTAGTTGAACAGAACAACGGAGCAATCTGATTAACAAAAGTGAATACTTTTACTACTTTCTCACCTTCCCCGTTGTAGTTCCCCACAGGAATGTACAGTCGTTTAGACCAAGGAATCAACATAAGTGTGCTTGGTCGATGTCCCAAAATTAATAGGCGCAAGCTAGCAAGGTAAAAGCTTAAGTACCTAAAAGGCACCAATTAGACGGCAATGAAGATCTGATGTTTGAAATGATATACTTTGCCACCTTGAATAATCATTTTATTAAGTATCGTTACTCATTTGGGGATGGATGTCACAAAGCATGTAAGTCAACAAAATCAAATAAGTGATTTTTTTGAATATTTATAAGTAGGTGTATTTCGGATGTCACTGGTGCCCTCATGGCGTCTGCTGATCCTTTTTATGGAGCGGGTGACAAACTTGGAACCGATGTTGAGCTCGCACTGCACCACATTATTCTGGTGTATTCCTTTGTTTCGCGATTTACTCTTTTATTTTGGAGAATTCTAGGACGTGATAAAGGTGATCTCTTACATCGATGTAAGCTAATATCAGTTCGCTTCCAATTAAGCAATAACTAAAAAATACTTGGTATTTGCATAGATAATTTTGTTTCTGCCATCGTACCAATAAAGTGTCCGACTGAAACACTTTAATCATCTAATCTGATGCATTTTAAATATAGCTAAATACTGAAACTTATAAACAAACAGAATGTGTCGTCACTGAATGGATGTGTTGGTTTATGCCATGCAATCGGATTCGCTGCCGCGATTACCTGATCTCAAACGTTTCAGGGATCAAATGTGTGTATTTGCGTTGAAAGTGGACTTTATTGGGGCGTGGACTGGTCATGCAAAACATGCAGGTTTACAGTTAATGTGCTCCTATGGTTATAATTTATGAGAACGGAGAAAAGACTTCCAACTTAGTAGATCAAATGTTATTAAAAGTACTTAAGCAAGCATTGTGCAAAACACCTTTTTTCCGAGACCAAAGGTCGATCTCTGTATGCACAGATTGTCTGATTCTTCTTTATTTATAGGTATTGGAGTAACGATAACTACTCCTACCTTTGTTGCTAGCGATATGATGAGTGAAGACGTATTTTCTGAAAACCTTTTCAAAACTGTTCCTTTGTTATACTCACCATGATGAATCTAAGCCAAAATCT